ATATATATATATATACATGTACATATAAATATATACATGTGTATACACACATACACACACACACATACACACACATACACACACACACACACACACATACACACATGTATGTAAAATGTATTTTATATATATATATTATATATCCAGATCGCGCATAAGCGGAAGACGAGCAATTTAACAAGAAACTTCGTGTCGTCCCGCATAACGCGACAAACTTAGCGTAACCGATGTAATTCACGCGCAAAGAGCTCTCCGGCTCATAACGCCGCGGATTCAGGACTATTACACATTCCACCCGCGACGGATGGGAGATATAGAGACAGCAAGTAATGTGTTATTTAAAACGTCGTTACTTTTATCGTTACTTTTTTATAATAACAATTTGGTAAAGTTACAATTTTTCATGACATGTAACAATAATCATGGTTGGAATGGTTACTTTTAAAAGTAACTCGTTTCTTTTTTAAATGAGAAATATGTAACGGCCTAATAGAAATTTCATGCATTTTTCGAGCAGTTACTAGGCAGTCATATTAATTTTGTCTAGTAACTGAAAAGTGAAACTACTTATTAGAATTTTAATCGAGATCTATGACGCTTTACCTGCAATTATCGTGTACAAAAGATACACAAAATCTAACTCATTTACTGGAAAACAGGCTAATATATAAATTATGCAATATTTTAATTAATAATAATTTATTGATACTAATTTATATATAATAGACAATAATTTAGCATGTGTCTACGCAAATTGCACATATTTTATTCAGCCACATAAAATTCTTATCAAGTTATTGTTCATTTTCTACACAATATTGTTGCAACTAATGAGAGTATAAGTAATAATAGAAAGAAGGATTTTGTTCAAGTATCTAAAAATTTAGCTAAATACAGAACTAAAAATAATTATTCAGACGCTTGAGCAACGCTGTAAAAAATTTTGATATTCACTGGAAAAAATTTCTAGTTGAAAATGAACGAATCAGAATTTTCCGGTTAAATTTATTAGAATTCTAATTGAGATAATCAGAATGATACAATATTTTTAGTAAAATCTATTAGAATTCTTATTTTTATCAGAATAATTATATCAATCAGAATTCTAGTTATTTCAACTAGAATTCTAATAGATTTAATCAGAAATTTTTAATCAGAAATTGTTTTCAGTGTATTAAATTTAATTCAATAATAATTTATTATTATTATTAAATTAAATTTCAGATCTGAATTTAGCTAAATTTTTTAATACTTTAATAACGTATTTCCGTGTATTGTTTCGGGGTGTTCACGAGTTAAAACTTCCAAAACTGTTTCAATCCTGGCGTTATCATTATTGTCATGAAAATTAATAACGTCATTATTATAAATCGCTATTATAAAAAAAATAATGGTAATAATAAACGTTACTTAGCATCTCTACAAATATTTATACCGCAGATTGCTTACCGGTAATTAAGTTGTATTAATAATACACCGCGAACAATTATTACACGGACATTAACGGTTATTGCTATGTGCCGAGCGCCATGCTATTCATAACGTAATGCGAAATGATTTTATGATACGTTGGGCGATGAATTTTCGTTAAATCCACGCACGTCACGTTTCGCGCAAAAGCTACGTGATTACAGTATGATAATTTTATATGCGATGTTTAATATCATAAATTGCGGCCCTCGGCGTTCTCTTTTCATCGGAGGATCTTATATACTGAAGAAACGATACTTAAGTTTCAGGATTATTTTACGGAACGAGCTCTCTTGCTCTCCCTAAGAAAAATATGTCCGACCGGAGGACGCGTATAAATTTCTCGAAACAAATATTTTTATTCCACGCTGTGGAAACAATCTCGCAATTTCAGTACGTCAGAGGCAAAACCGGCAATTTTTACGCTTGCGTGAAAATGTATTCAAATCGGTTACGTGCAAAATTCAAAGCGATCATGGTACGTCATTTGTTTTTCTCCTAACGTAAGAACATCGCACCGGCACGTATCCCCTGTGTCACTGAGGTCGTCGTCGACCTCGGGCTCGCGTAAATGCAGTCGATCTACGGAAATCCGATCTTGGCAAGAAGTCGCAATTGAGACGATTCGTTCGTGACGATCGTCCGCCACGCCACGCGTTGACCGCGGCTACCGAGATCGAGCTTCCCTCGGGGCGCGCGAGTTAAACGATCCGCCGTCGTGAAACTCGAGCGATCGATGGATATAAATCAAGCGCGATCGTAGAGGAACCTAAATTTCCCGCCTGCCTTGAACAAAGAAACGCGATCGTTTTCGCGGATGGAAGGTACGACCGGATGGAAAAAAGAAAGGTGCTCCGGGAAAGGCGGAAGAGACAGGAAGAAGAAAGACAGGGAGAGAGAGAGAGAGAGAGAGAGAGAGAGAGAGAGAGAGAGAGAGATATCCGGCGAAAGAAAGGCGTGCAGATGGACGAATGCGACGCGACGGGCACCGGAAGGAGATTATGCAAACGGCAGCCAATTCGATCGAAGTGCACTGCAAATAACCGCAGTTTTAACCCATTCGATTAAATGCACGAGAAAGCCTGCCGTTCATTAGAATATCGCGCTCAGACGCGTAATCTCAGACGTCTACAGCTGAACGTCGATGTTTGTCGAGGAAGAGGGCGAACATTTTTCATTAAAGGTCAGGTATCATTAAAATCTTACTATTGGTTGACTCGTCATGTCATTCATGAAATCGTCACCTTCGCCGATCCGTTGAATTCCCTTGACGTAGGCTTTCGCGAATGTTTTGAATTTTGTACTGAGAGAAAAATGGTTGCAATTAACATAATTACATAACTGTAATTTATAATTCATAGTTATTTTTTATTTATAATTGCATAAAAATTAAATCGATAAGAACAAATAAGAAAAAGAATTCTATTTTCAGCCGAAGTGGATGATGCTTAATAATATTTATATGAAATGTGTTTGTAAGTCCGAAAAGTCAATTCGGTGCGCAGTTTGAATAGCTATAAATGTGATATATATGCATGTATATATATATATATGTGTGTGTGTGTGTGTGTGTGTATGTGTGTGAGCGCGCGCGCGCGCGTGTGTGTGTGTGTGTAATGTAATATATATAATATATATAATATGTAGTAATTCAGTTTTTATTACATTCCAGATACCATGACAAGAACTTTAAATTTAATTTAATAAACATTTTATTGGAGAATGATTATCCTTCTGATTTTATTTTTTAGATGATAAATTTAAGATTAAAAGCGTTATTCCATAAACAATCCAAGACACAAAACAATATGACTAATTCGCCACCAGAACAAGGACATATTTCTTAGTTCGTATTATCATATTGTATATTTATTCAATCTCATAAATTCAGAAGTATTATTAGTAATTTGAATATGAAGCTAGCATTTTTCAATTTAAATAAACTTAGAAGATTTGTAAAAGTTCACAAAGATATTCTCCAGAAAGAGTCAAATAAGAATGTAGTGTATAAAATAGAATGTAAAAATTGCAACGCGACATACATAGGACAAATCGGCAGAAAATTAAAAACGAGAATTCAAGAACATTATCGACAAATTAATAGTTTCAATAGCACTAGATCGATCATTACGGATCACAGATTTTCACTAAATCATGATTTTGAGAGAACGTCAAAATTTTAGACCGTGAACGTTAGAAAGAAGATTAGTATCTGAGATGTTATATATAAATGCAAAATAATAGTCTTAACCTACAGTCTGACACAAAATTGTTACATTACGCTTGTATTTCCATTTTAAACAAATTATAAATAATTTATTATTTTAACGCTTGACTTTATCTATGTAAACAATGACAATATCTGCGACACACTTTCAAACAATTTCGTCAGTCTTAACTTTGCCATGTTTTAACTGTATTGTATTCTTGTACTCTGACTATTTATATATATCTTTTATAATGGTTATTGAATAGAATTGAATGGAATTCTTGGATTTTATTCTTATAATTATTTGTTTCTGTAATCACGTCTCTCAGCATCAAATGGTAAGCACATATTTTTACAAGTTTTTATAATTTTGCTAATAACATGGTACCTTTTCACATTCCAGAAATAAATTGCAACGAAAAATTCATGCACTTCACTTGGAATCTTTCAATTTTTTAGTGGCTGCTATTGATGCATGAGTGATGTCTTATAATTTTAAAGAACTGCATTAACACTGATAATGATTCTAAAAAGAATCGAAACATTCGTTTTTATGGAAATATGTAATCAATTATTGCACTGATTAACAGTATTATTTGATCACGCTCCAACAAGTGCGTTACACTCTCA